CTTACTTTTTAATCTGAATTTTCTAAGGTGCCTTAAACTTTCACCAAGAAACCGTGTCAAACGCACTGATGAGTGTCGCCTTTCATACCGGCAACATCATTCCAGTCTATTTTTTCTGCTCATCACAAGCGTCGCGCCACTAGAAGCAAATACGCAACTTTCCAGAAATACGTCACTTTGCAAGCAATGTTGTTGCAGTTTTGATACAATTTGAAACTAAAATGTGAACAGAAATGTGATCGTAATTTACTCTAGTAATACAGATGAATTAGACATGAGGACTCAGGAACAGTGACAAAGCTGACCAGTTCAGAAACCAGTCCCCTGTGACGAGTCCGGCAGTGCTGTTTCTCAGACAACTGTTTTGTGAGTTAAACATGAAAGTTTCTTGTGCTTTCTGAGACTAAAACACAGGGATAACTGCAGTGCATCATTTGTGCTGTACTGGCTCCACAATGATGCGTCATGCTAACCCCAAAAGTTGCCACCTGCAATGTAACTTGCAGACAGTTGCTAAGCTCTCCTAGCAATTAACACAGTTCACAGAAATCAGTATGTTCTCCATCAATCTTACATGAAAACCAAACTAATCTATCTTGGTTTATAACAATAATAATTTACACACATTAACCTTTTTCCACCCACCTTTCAAAAGCTACTGAAGAAAGAACTGAATGTACAAAAATGAAAGTTCATAACTTCATCGCTCACAAAACACGGCTGATGTTATCACAGTTCTGATTGGACAATTACAATTAAACACTGTCTGTGTGGATTCTCCTTCAGAATGACCTGCTCACAGCAAAACCCACCACCTTCCCAAAACTGAAGTTCATCGTTTGAAACCGTGAATTTTGCAGAGTTTGCATGTAAGTAGAATGAGCTACTTTTAATTGAAGCACTTCACTTAAATGTATCATCTAAAGTTGATCATGAGGAAAATACTCAAACACTACGACCCCACAGGAAGAAATACACAGCTGGCAACATCACATCACCCAGTGTTTTCACATTTCAGGATAGATTTGTTATAGAAAGTGATCAGGTTCTCTCCAACAGCCCAATACAGATGACCATTGATAACAGTATCTTTACTGACGATGCTCAACCCTATTAAGGTGTGACAGTGAGCCCCACATCCTCTCACCGTATGAGTGTTCATGTATGTGTGAATGTGTATGCGTATGTCAGTTGTTGTACTGTAGGTGCGGTGCAGAGGCACGTCCTCTGATCTGCCTACAGCTCACCACTCCTGTGGTGTAGATTAGGGTGACTCACAGTCTCTCGCTGCAACTGCAAAGGTGGAAGTTGTTTCTACACACATACACACACACACATGCACACAGAAGAAGGCCTTTCAAGGTTCATGTCAAGTTTGTTCCATAAGGGGTCATAACCAGATAGACGCTGTGTCGCAGTGTGTAACTGTTGTTTCCATCTTCAGTCAGAGAGACGAGCCGTATCAGTTGACGCAATGCAAACTCTCCCAGATTGTATATGACATTAGCCTCCACCGCTGCGATTACATAATGCTCGCATGAATAAAAAATAAGCGTGAGCCAGGCACTCGGAAAGCCCTGTATGGTGCATAAGACGTCTGCGTGTGTTGTTTCAACATTTTCCTATTTAACTCTCACCCAAGGCAGCCTAAACACAACGCTGTGTATGTTTAAAAAAGTCGCACTGTCTGCGAATGTTTCTCGTGCTGGTGATCATAAGTCTGTCTGAGAGTTTAATTCACATACTGAGCAGCTGCTGCTGTTCTGGAAACACTTTCAATATACACTACATGTCCAAAAGTGTGTAGACACCTGCCCATCCAATGTTTACCTGAGAAACCTGAGAAAATTAGAATTAATCTGGGCCGTAATTATTTGTGTCCAGAAAAACACAGAATTACAATAAATACAGATAACATTAAAACAATAAGCAGAGCTTTTATGTTTGTCTCTGTGTTCATTTAACCCTTTCCAAACCTCGACTCATTGCAGCCCATTATTGTTTGTTGTTATCAACTAATATCTGTAATCAATACTTCATTATGTTAAATCAGGTGAGCTGCTGATGGAATTAGACAAATACATTTGATTGGTTGGGGCATCCAGGAGAAATCTAACTAGCTCACAGGACAACTACCTGTATTTATTTACTTACATTTATCCTAAAGATATTTAGTGTTTTGCCAGCAAAACCACCATCAGTGCCAAGATAAATGATCTTAAACAATGTGCTCAGGTGCCGTAACTCGCACAGTATTGTGTGTGTGTGTAAGTTTGGGTGGACACACATTTCTGGCCTGAACACAGTTTGGCCCTGGGGGGGAAACCAAATGACCAAATGAACCAAGACAATTCCATGTGTGGCGAAGACAAAAATAATTCTGATGCTGATGTTCAGTAAGTAAGAATGCAGCACTGACGACTGTACAACTTCATTTTCTTCTCTCTCTCTCCCTCTCTCTCTCTCTCTCTCTCTCTCTCTCTCCTTCTCTTTCTCTAAGCATGTGCTCCCATGGACAAGAGGAGGCGGCACATGGGTTGCAAAGGTTCAGCTGTGGGTTAATGGCACACTCATTGATTTTAGACAGCTTAAAAGCCACGGCAGCTTTACGCCTGACAGAGTTATGAAAAAATGTAATCCCAGGTGAATTTGATCAACGGCTCATCCTCTCTCTCTCTCTCTCTCTCTCTCTCTCTCTCTCTCTCTCTCTCTCTCTCTCTCACACTCCCTTGCTATTGCATACCACATACAGCATCCATAAAAAAATCCAATGACACGTCTGTAATCCAACATAGACAAACTCACAATTTGGCTTCTGAAGATAATGTTGTGAATCACTGTATTAAGCCCCTTAATTGCTTTAATCCCCTTAATTCAAATCTAATTAGCCTAATTAATGAAACACTAACAATTCACTTTATTAGGAACACTTACCTTGTGCTTTCACTCACTGACCACTTTATGAGCTCCGCCTACCTTATACTCTACATATATATATATATATATATATATATATATGTATATATATATATATATATATATATATATATATATATATTTATAATGACAGGTTTTGTTGAATGTAAGTACACATTCACTCCAGAGACACCTGTGCACACTTTTAAGTGCGATTACTGATTATTTGGTGAATTTAAAATATAGTAAACAACACATTTTATATGTTATGTTTTTTTCCAATACATTAAATTCAGCAAGTAAACAAAAATTGTGCAGTAAAAGTTGCAGAAAAACATCATATTTAAGTTTATATGTAATTTTTAAGTTTGCATACAATTGTAAGTGTACAACTGCAGACAGCCCATCCATTGCACACTTTGTCAGACACCCTCTATATCCATCACTGGTCAGATTCTGACCACAGGACTTATCTGAGATCCTGATAGCAGTAGTAGTAGTAGTTATACAGTAGTGGTACAGTAGTGTGTAGCATAGGCACTTAAGCACTTGTGTATCAGCCACAGCAGTGCTGCTGGAGATTTTACATGTCAGTGTCAAAACTGGGATGAGAGTGATTCACCACTCATAGCACATCTAGATAATAGCAGTCTTGGGTTACAAACCAGTTCATCACTGACATTTTCACTGATGTTAATTACAGACTGACGAATTGTACATGAAAAAGATGATAAAAGGGATGATCAGATATTACATAGCTGGTGGGCCCCTCGACGCAGCAGTGACACTGATGTGTGTGAAAACCCCAGCAGCACCTAGTGCCTTATTCACTAATACCAATAGGGCACACTACCACATCACTACCATTTCACTGTCATGTGGTCAAATACTGACCAGTAAGTTTACCAGTTAATGCAGTATGAAATTCTTCTATAGGCATGAGTTCTGTCAAAACCATTAAGTGCAGATAACGCAATGTGAAAACCATTCTAACCTTAGCCTGTTTAGCTGGGTCAATAGCCAGAGTCGCGTTTCAAATGAAAATGAAAGCTCAGCTGTCCCTCGATCACCTCCCACCGTCTAGTTTGTTGCATCTGAAGTAGTGCACTTTGGAATGGCTGGTCTTTTGGGTTAGCCTTAGCCTAACATGGACACCTGACCAATTGCTGTGGTTGTTTCCTCCCGTACCACCTGAGAAACCACCTGGCGCGGTCACCTGCATCAGACCACTTTGCAGTTTCGGGGTTTCGTCCACGTAACAAGCCATGGACCAGACGGTACTGAAGCGTGGTACAGTTGGAGGCACAGGTGCGCAGGTGAAGTTGGGTTCTTATTCGAATTCCCAGTTCCACCTTAAATGGTGCATCAGTTACATTCTGGTACCTGTACAGGAGCCAAAATGTAACAGCTGCTCCATTTAGGGTGGAATGGAAAAATCACATAATATTTCAGATTTACTTTGGCTGATGAAAACAGCTCTTACTAAAAAGTGACGGGACATCCCAGAATAATAAGCTATTGCTAGCCTACACAAATAGGCCTAATTAAACATCTAAAAATTTACTTGAAATTATATATACAGTGTGATATATACTGAAACTGTCAGATGTACCAGAACATATTTTTTGCCATACTTCCCTCTACGAGTTGTAATGACTTCTAATCAAATTACATACATTAACACATACAGCTGTCCTAAGAAGAGCTTGTACAGCATTATTTACAGCTGTGCTAGAGACGCAATAACGTTATGTTGTTATTGATGTTGTAGGGAAGCAGAACTGACTGTATAATTCATAAGCCTGGTTTCACAGCTAATGTGGTTACTGACAATCTTATTAGAACTCACATTTCTCCATTGATCAGAGCAATCAATACAACAGGACTGAGCACTGCGATTGGCACGGTAGGGTCATACGAGAGAAAACACACTCATTCACCCTGGAAGCCAGCAGAAGCAGGATAACGGAGAAATCTGAGAGGGAAATAAACCGAGCGGAGGCAGGAGAAAGACAGAGGGGAGAAAAGCGAACAAGATGAATAGAAGAATCAAAGAGAAAGAGACGGAGAGAATTTGTGCTTACCCGAAAAAAACTCCCCCAAATTATCACTTCCACCGGGGAGCCCAAGGTGCTTTCAAGTGGAGGTGCATGCATAAGTGAACAAATTAATTCGACAAAGAAAAGCGCTGGAATCAACCCTCAACTGCTCCGGCCTTCAGAAAGGCTCCGGCACCAACTTCAGCTGCTACAGGCATGAATGCAGCATCTCCTTCACAACACAGGCTTTAAGCTTTAAGTGAACATATTTCCAACAACTGCTGCAGATGCATTAAGTAACAGTGTTGAGAAATCCACTTCATATTTACGCAGTAAGTCATATAAAATACCCATGAAATGTAAGGTGAGACCGATATCACTGACCACATCCTCACTTCTCAGGCTCTAGACATTGTCACGCTCACTGTGCAGCTTTGGAAAGAAAGAAAGAAAGAAAGTTGTAAAAATAGCTAACGGTGTTACACCAGCGAGCCAAAGGCACAATATTTGTTCTCAAATCTTAGAGCCTCTTGCTAAAAATAGCCCTCTACTAGTGCTGCCTTTAGCTGAGATGAGACACAGATACAAGGGACAGCACAGCAAGAGTTCAGCATGCGCGTGTGTGCGCGTGTGTATGTGAGCGTGGGTGTGTGCCTGCGCGCAGGAAGACGACCGCAGCCACTTTAAACTATCACAACTGATTTCCTACCACAAACATTCCTCCCTTCACTTTGTGATCTGCAAACTGTGAGCGGCGACGACTTCACTTTTTTTCGTGTAGGCGTCGCATTCATTAGGATGCGATAGAGACGCAGCTACAGTTTGAAATGCCGCTGGTACAAAGACTGCGAAGACTGAATGCATGCGCTCAATAAAAAGGAGAGAGCGTTCGCCTTGACTCTGTGATTCACTCGAATTATTTGGCGAGTTTGAAAACTAGAGAAAATATGAGCTTTGAATCCAAGCAATTTTCAAACACTCCATATCTAAAGAAGAGAAAACATGTTTTCCAGATATTTTACTCTGAGGGGTCGATTATGGTGACACAAACTGACATATACCCTGCACTGCTACACATTACACCTGCTTTAGTACAAACAATACACTATTACATCTGCGCTATAATCGCTTAAAGGGGAAGTCCACTGATATTTTAAAATTTCTGCATAACTCAGTTGTTGAGATGTAAACAAAGTCACTCAGAGTGATTTGGTGTGATGAAGTGGTGCTTTACAGACAGACTTGTATTATTCCATATATATTACACTAGTGGTGGTGATAGGAACTGGGAGTCGCAATGTCAACAACACAGTAAACCAGTGAGTCTACATAGGTCTTCTGATTTGTTATGTAATGTTGACAACAGAAAACTAGCAGTAAACCTGAAAAAAATACATCTCTTTGTGTACTATTTCGCTGTACAATGGCCTGTATGCACCTCACCACCGTACAAGACTATAAAAACATACGTTTTAGGCCACTTTATCTTAAAACTGTAATAAAACAATGTCTCAGACAGATGAATTGTCTTATAAGTAATTATGATAAATGATTTAATTGTATTTTCTTGTTTGCTGTTTGCAACTTTTAAAATACAATCCTAAAGTGGCCAAACTGGCTGATTAGCCACCTGACCTGCTAGCTACATTTAGCAGCTAATACTGTGGATTCAATACTGTTGTGTGTACAAACTCATACATGTCTACAGTTCCAGAGAATTATGGGTAGAATTCAGCAAAGCTGCACGTTCTTTACAAACGTGAAAATATAAGAAAAAGCACTCATTCTGCTAGCATACATGCTAAAAATGTTAGCTGTGTAGCTGAAAATGAGCTACATAGCTAACCAGTTAAAAACACTACTCAGCGCTGCCCTCTAAACCTGTTAGATCACCAAGTTAGAAGTTTAAACTTCTTTTTTTCATAATAAGCTCCAGGATGTCTCAATGAACGCATTTACTACTTTCTTTTACTTCCATTTTGCCTCAACGCAGCCAATTTACATTTTTTATTTGTTTGCAACATAACATGACAGTGAAATCTAATGACTGTGGAAAATGACTGCAGTCAGCTTAAATAACTGTGCTGAGGTGATATTGTAATATAATAATATGTTACAAGCCTGGTCTCATTCAGTGATAACGTCCACTAACTGCTTTGTCGTCTGGTTCATTTCACCACCGCTGTGAACAATTCTGACTTCAATTCTGACGTTTTTCCTCAAACTACTCTGAATGACTTTCTTTACACCTTAAAGGGGAGGTCCACTGATTTTTCAAAATGTGAAATGCTCCAGCATCTGAAAGATCTGAAAAAAATGTGCTTCCTTTGGGGATTATTTTGCCTTACAACGCCCCACATGTACCCCTCCGCCATGAATGCATATACATATATATTTTAGGCCAAACCTTTATGTAAAACAATGTCTAGGCATCAGGCAGCGCATTAGAAACCATTTGATGTAATATGTGAAAAGGGAGCTTTGAGAAGGACTAAAAGTGCTTCAGACATCTGGTTCATATCACCACTGTGAACAATTCAGACTCAAGTTTATCTACTAATCAAAATTTTTCATCAAACTTTGTTTACATTTGTATCTTACAGCACTGTTGGTCTCACATACTGGCCACTTTATTAGAAATACCCACCTCATAGCTCAACCTTGCTGATGTACAGTTAGAAAGCGCAGTCCACCTGTTGTCGTTCACTCCTCCTCCCTGTTTCAATGCACAATTTCATCACTGGTCAGTTTATTCCCACAGAGTCATTCTTAGCTGCATATTTTTGGGTAGTAGCCCCTCTCAACACCACTCCTACCAGCACTGCACAATCTACCACACCACAACCATGTCATTCTCACTGCAGTGCTGAGAATAGTCCACTACTTAAATAATATCTGGCCAACAGCAAACATGGCCTGAGGGACAGGACAGTGTAATCACATATTACCGATCATTGTCAGGTAAACTGATGGCGATGTGTAAATGGCAACAATCACCATTTTGGGAAAGAAAACTTAGTTAGAACCTTAGAGGACTGACATTATCATTAAACAGCTTGTAAATATGTTGTGAATTAAGGTTCCTGTTTTTTTAAGAAGTGTGCGGCCCCAATTGACAGCTTGTTTATGTTTATGAGAGAGAGAGAGAGAGAGAGAGAGAGAGAGAGAGAAGGAGGAGTTTGTTAAGTAGCTGTCTGTTCTCTCTGCTATGCAGTGATGCTATGTTTACCTAGCGCATGGCTCTTCAGCTTCTACTTACTTTACTTCACATTAAGTTTAGCTCGAGTTCACAGAACCAAAAATGCTTTCGAACGTCAGCTCACTTCAGTGTGACCCTCTGCAGCTCTGCAGTAGCTTCAGCCCTAGAGAGACAGTTCCTCTGATTTATGTCTACGACTGGAAAAACAGCATCAGGAAAAGGTTAACAAACAATATTAAATCATTTGTTCACACAATGCATTATTAATTTTTACCCTTAAAACACTGAGTTATAACGGGGCCTTTATAAGACGGTAGAGTAAATACAATCAATTATCAATATAATTGATAATCACAATTTTTTAAATTTTTAGATATCAATGCTGGGGCTTTACACACCACTAGCTGACACTTAGCATTGACCATGGTGACCTTGGGTTCCTGTGCAGCTGCTACAGAGTCCCCCATTCTATGGAGATTATAAAGCTGTGTATGCAACTGAACGCCTGTCTCAGCCTTAAGTGCATCTTAGAGTAGCTCAGCCTACTAATTAAAAACTTTTAAGCAGATAGTTTGCATAGTGGACCTATAAGGTAGCCATAAAGGTGAATGGAAAGATAAGGTAGGTGTTTCTAGTGGACAACAGCTCTAAGTCAAACCCAAATATAGTCAATCTAGAAAATCATCTGCCTCACAGCTCATCAAGAACGGTAAACAGATGCAGTTCAAAAGCACTGATAGACAAACTAAGTAGGTACATTTCTGATAGATGGTAATTAAATTTGTTTTATTTTGTTTATCAATGATCCGTTGACGGCTCGCTTCATTGTCGCTAGGTAACTGAACGCTGTCACTAAGCAAAGCATGTCTATGAATAAGCTAAGCTATGAATGTGGAGTTTGATTCATTCTGGCTGGTGGTGGTCCGGATTTTCTCAGGCTCGGATATATAATTTGGTGCTGTGGAGTTGGAGTTGAGTTAGACTGAACATTCTCAGGATGTTTTCAGGTTCAGATCAATATGTCAGGCCTGATTAAAGCTCTAACGTACAGCTCTCCCTGATACAGATCAATACTGTGAGAAATCCTCTGCAGACAGACAGGTCGGGCCTTTAGAGGCACAGAAAAGCAGCAAGTCGCACTTTCAACGCCTGGCCTGTCGCCCAGCTGCCCCGAGAGGGGGTCAGTGGGGCAGGATAGAAAATGGGAGTGATCCACAAACACTCTTTGTCTCTGGGATTAGGCCTGGGAGCCCACAGGCTGAGGAGTGACTGAGACGGTGGAAGGAGATATAACAAACATTCAGTTCTTTGTAATACAGTTATTTTCTGTCTCTCTCTTTCTGCCCTGAATTTCTCCCCCCTCTCTTTCTTTCTCCCACTCTTTATGTCTCACTGTTTCTCTCTCTCTCTGTGATTCTCTCTCACTCTCTCTCTCCCTCCCTCCTCTTTCTGTGTCTATCTGGTTCTTCCACTCTCCCTGTCTTTCAGGCTCTGTTACTCTCTCTTTTTGTTTCTTTGATGCTCTCACCTCAGTATAGATCCACTATAAATGAACCGTAGAAATAACCCCAGATTATATTAATCCTGTATAAGTTGCAGTGTAGGTGAAAATGCTATTATAACCTGTGGAAAAGGAGTTTTTTTTCTCAAGCGTAGAGATACTCGAACAAGCATTTACTTGTGTTCTCTGTGGCTCAAATCAAGCTGATATATACTGTTCTACATCATGTGTACACCTCCGAACATTTAACACACGTAAAATTACAAAAAAAACACCTTTGACACATTGCTTGCAAGCATGATGCATTAAAGGCCTGACATTTTTCTTGCAATCTATACTTTTCTGTGAGGTCTACTTATAATAGTTATAGTTATAATAATACTTATAATTCATTTTTACATGAACCTCTCTTTATCCCTGAGAATTAAACAGGCAGTGTTGTTACTGTGCCTTTAAGACTGGCACAGTGAGCTCTGCTCTGACTGCCTGTCCTGTATTGTGTTTCATTTAAAAAGCAATCCAGTCTAAAACACTCTTCATAACATCAGTGTCAGTGGGCGGGGCTAAACTGCAGATAAACTAAGAATAAATACAAATGTGTAGATTTTTGTGACATCACAAAAAAAGTGAATTCAATATGTGCTGTTTCATGTAGCTTAGTTTCCATATCTGGACTGTACGGACTGTAAGGTGAACAGTATGTTTACATACTACAAAAACTCTCATTAAAAAAAAGGAAAAGTTAGTTTTCAACAATTAGGTAGATGGTTAGGGTAAACAAAATAACAGCTGATATCTATTCTG